ACCGTTCACCAAAACATGCTTCTCAGGTAGATGCCAGCCACGAGGACGAACATTCAGCACTGAATTATCTTTCGATTATCCGANACAATAAGCATAATAATTGCGGTGAATAGTGAATCTGTTCATCTATTATGACAGGGGTTCTCATAGGGGTGAAATTACCCGTTTTGGATAATTTGGAGATGTCAATGGGTAATGGAGGGGGTTAGGAAATTAGTATTTCGTGCAGTGGTTATTTTATGATAGAACGCCATTTTGATGGTGCATTTTAACTCGGAAATGTAAAAGCGGTTAGTTGATGGCAACACTCTCCATCCTCCTGTTTTCTGAGCATCATTAACTTGTGAGGACCTAACAGGGTTTTCGTTTGTTTTAACAGGATTTTCATTCTTTTCTGAGCTGTCGCAATCGCTCTCATAGCTTTTATCACCAAAAGTGTTCTCTTCTGATAATTTCTCATTCATTTCACGCAACAATTGAAGTCAAATTCTCATTCTATCAAGTACACTCTATAATTGACTATTTGACTGTCGAACGTCGTTGATCAATAATATTCAATTGCTGTATTGTTGATTTCGGTTGTCAACACTCGTCAACGCATCCAGTAAACAGCACATGCTACAGAATGAAAAATTGATTTGAACTGTAAAGTGAAATGAGACAAAGTGAATGAGAAAAACTCATCAAGAGAGCGACATTCGCATGTAATAGCTATGAGAGTGACTATAACACGTCTGAAAAGAATGAGAATCCATCTGAATCAGTTTGAAGTGAGCGTGTCATAGACAATAGCCTTTCATGCAATCATAATCGACTGTAATAATGAGCAACACAACGATTTAGGACATTAATTTCTTTCACACTGCTGAGAAATTTCTGGACCGATTTTCTGTTTGTTCCTGATGTTATACGTAGGAATAGTAAGATTTTGGATCAGGGAGGGGGAGAGGGGGTAACGGCGACGTGCCAGATGATCAAAAGGGATAATAGAGCATCCGAACGTGAGAATCACTGTACTATGATGAAACATCAGTAATAATATTCATTAACGTCAGTGAAAGCGTTGATTTGAATATTAATAACAACGATTAAAAAATTATGATGACATTGATAATGACGACAATTTGTATAATAGCGATTGAACTGCAGTAGTAATATGAAAATTGTTATAAATAATATGAATTAAAACAATCACCAGCATGATTCTTATTGAGACTGTACTCTTTCTTTGTGGTAGGGTGTGTGTACGAGATATCGCCCCTAACCGCATCGTACAAATTCATCTGTCCCTCGAGTTGATTCCTCCACGATGGTGTATTTGAGTCTTCAAAATCAGCCATGAACACTTTTGCGCCACTGTTTAGCGCATTGATCACCATTTTACGATCTGTTGGTCCTGTTATTTCCACTCGTCGATCCTTAAAGAAGATCACTCATCTTAAGAAATTCACTTCTTAACGTCTAAAATGCGGTTCCATACATCCATTTGAACTTTAATCTAATCCATCCAAGTCTGAGCATGGAGTCGAAACTCAGGAAAACTATAGGTTTAGGAGTAAGATAAAACCTAAACTTGGTTCATCTGAGTATGTCTAAAATCGAATGACTTATGCACACTAGTGATTTTGTCCGCCAGTTTGCTCAAAACCAGAGCAAATATTTTGCTTTAACTGTGAGTTAAGTACTGGAAACCCTGATTTTTTCCACGTGAACTTATGTGAGCTTAAGGTTTCGCTCCTTTAAGATTAAGTGGCTTGTTCATGATGACGCTACTGACCAACAAATCGTTCGGTATGACAGCACCAGTCCAACTGAGATCTTCTCGAAGCGCTTTCGTTTCAGGATTGAAATCCGGGAAATATTCCGAATTATCAATGGAAGCTTGAACAATTCGTCGCTTGGCCAGTAATTGCAAGCGACGTGAGTCAAACTTCTGATGCAGTTTCTTGAGGAAACGCATTGCGTCCGGTGTCAGAATCTTCTCATCTCCCTCTTTTTCGACTGCAGTCATCTGAAAATGCCGCATTTATTCTATCGAATACGGTCTTTTTTATATGATTATAACAGATAAATTCGGGTTCAGGGTCAATTGATCACAATCATCAGCGAGAATTTTCCCTAGAGAATAGAATTCGTATCTTCAAAACATTGTTGAAAGTCGCATTTTCTCTGATGGAATTTTCTCCAGTGTGTATCTCATGAACACGATGAGGGTAGCATGTACTAAATAAGATCAAGTATTTTTAGAGTTTTAATTTAATCTGGATTCTACAATACAACTGCATTGAACAATTAGAATCAGTGCTATCATAATAAGAGTGAAATATAAAATTATTAGTCCCCAGTAGTACCGTAAGTATTTCGTCCTCATCCGGTGGTGCCGTAACAGTGTGTGGTTTATCGAAGAATTGCTGATCTTCGGTTGATCCGCTCAACGCTACCGTGGACGCTTTACCGCCCGAGACAGCATTCGCCACCTGATCGAAATAGCCTGTACCGACTTCACGTTGGTGTTTGACGGCCGAATAACCATGCCTTTAAAATTGAACGTTTAGCATTGTTTCTCACTATAACTTCCCATTCTCACTATAATTTCCCAACTCAACATGATATTTCTATCAGTTTTATGGTCCATCCTCTGTGAAATGACAAGTTAGGTAGTTGCAATGTAATTTATTACTAATTTATTACTATTTATTACTATTTATTACTATTGAGTAATTTATTCACTAGAGATAAGTTGTGCATGCTTATCTCTAGTGATTGAGTATCAATACAGATAAGCATCGCTCGATAAATTATGCACGCATTTCAGAGGGATATTCCTTCCATTCGATTTATGATCATTATGTAATGTTTGATTTGAGTGTTTCCCACAGTCACGTGGTGGACTTTGACCTGTTGCGATCCATTAAGGAGGTTGTTTACTACTGCTCATTAATGTGCATGATCAAATGATTTATCAAGGCTAATCTACCGTACTTTTTTCAATTCTCGGCAATCTGAGTGATCGAGAAGTGAAAGAAATACCGACAGATATTGCTGAGAGATAGATTCACGATAGATAGACTCACGATAGATTCCTTGAAGAAAACTAGCTACTTGTTTTGATGAATAAATATCGTTGACCTATCATTTAATTGGAACACCGTGCTTTGTTCATCTTAAGAAGCACTGGTGGTGATGACAAACAAACACGTGTTGGACTATGACCCGAACCGTAATGATAAACAATGACGTCAACGAATGACAACTGAAGATAACTTCATTTGACAGTGGCGATGTCGAAATGAGCAAGTCATTAATCAAAACAATGCGCTTCGATAATGGAAGACGAAAATTTGCAAAAAAATTTGTAAATAAAGATCGCTCGGTTCTGATTAAAGTATGCTTAAATTTGCTGTTCGTTTGCTCAAACTGTGAAGTCTCATATCGAAATTGATCAATTGATTTGCTCGAATCGACGAGATGAACTCTCGATGAAGTTTAGAATTTCGACTCGTAGGAGTAATATTAATGATATGTCTTCCTATTGTGTTGTTTTGTGCATATATAATTAAAGTGATACTACTATAAAATTAGACAATCGTGAAAAGTGGAAACAATTGAATATGTTCCTCTGTAGGCACCAAAAATTGCTCACTTTTCAGAATCGAATTCCTGTTGTTGCAATTCTGAATATGCGGCCATTCCACGTTCACGATAGTTTCTGGCCAGATCATAAATACTGAAACTGTTGCAGTGATAACCGGCCAGCGTGATGAACTGATACTTGAAGCCCATAGCGCCCAATTCCTTCTGGAATTTCTCCAGATCAACTGGTCGCAAATGTTTCCTCCAGTTGAACGACGGCGAGCAGTTGTAGGCGAACATCTTATCTGGATGTTCTTTTCGAACACCTTCGGCAAACTCTCTGGCATCGCTCAACGTTGGATGTGACGTTTCCATCCATATCAGATCACAGTACGGCGCATAATGAATCGCTCGTTCAATACAATACTGAAGTGCCGTCTCATTCTTGAGTCTGAAAATTTTTGCAAATCTTCATGATGAAGGCGAATTTCGTTTTTTACATTTAATGCTCCAACCAAATGCTGCTAATTCACTGCTGCTTGCTGATCAAACTGCATCGATTTGTCTCTCATCAATTAATTCACAATCAAAACCCACACAATCAACAAAATTACAATTGCTATAATATGAATTCAGTTACAATATGAATGTCATAATACTTGATGAATAAATTTCCATCTTTACAGTGCTAGCCATCAGAAGATTTTCGTGTCGAATAAGTTTCATTCGTGCCAATCAAAACCAGCAATATTTTGTCCACAACTTATTAATTCGATCAAGACAAGAGACAGAGGAGATCAAACCTATAGAATCCTTCTGATGTACGTCCGGCTTGACGGTCGATGTACTGGTGATCCCGTTCATCGACATCACTGAAATTAGTGGCTTTTGCATGGAACTCGGCGGCTATTTTTCAACAACAAAATATTATGCGTCATTCCTTCAGAATAACAAATAATGCGAAAGCATCATAAGATCGATCAGGTACATCAAACCTCGCTATTCAGGTTGTTTTCGTGACAAAAACACCTCAAGAATCTTATGACTGCTCTGTCCATGCCCTCCGTGGGGTATTTGAAATTAGAATATAGATCGTTTGCTATCTAATAATTGAAACTGTTGAATAACCTCGTAAGTAAACGAGCACTCTCTGCATCCGTGCGTGCAACTATAATTGTTGGTACTCCACAAACGTCTGCAGCCAGTCGAGCCGCATTCAAATGTCTGATGTTTTCTTCGGTTGGAATCAACACCTTTCCACCCATATGACCACATTTTTTCTCACTACCCAGTTGGTCTTCAAAATGAACACCAGCAGCTCCTGCCTCTATATAAGCCTAAAATTACAAGTTTGAACTAAGAATTTTTTTAGTTCTTGGAATGAAATGAATAGTTCTCACTATTGGAGGGTGTTGATGATGAAACGTGGTGCAATTTAGATCAGTCAGTTCAGTTTAAGAGTTTATAATTATTAGTTTATTTGTAGTAACCATATCGTCAATAAGCATTCGTATTCCCTCTCAGTTAACTCTTCTTGTAATACTAATGTGTTTTTCCATCAATATTTTCAGTTTCGAATATCAAGATGTGAAAATATGATTCAATACAGATTTGGATATGTGGTCACTGGTTGATCACCATTGGTTTATCACTGTGACCACAAGCAGTTTCGTGGTGTAACCCTATTGCTTCAGTATACTTTAGAAATAGCTTGAGCCTATATGGTGTCGTTGAAATAATCAAGCAGTTCTTCGCATATTGAACGAAAAATGAAATGAATGCTAGAATGCACTCTATAAGAGATTATTTTCGTAATTCAATTATGTACGAGCAACTTTCACACGTTCTGCAGGCAGATTTTCATATACAGCATAGAATCGAAAGTTTCACACGTTCTGCATGAATTCTGACGAAAAATAACATTGTGTGATGTTTTATGAAATTAGGAAAATTTCTTTAAAATTTATCAACAATCATTATTATTAATTCAACTATGAAAAGCATTGATCAAATCATATGTTCGATGAGTAATATTGGTGAGAATCGTATCATCTTATCGAAAAAATAATATTCACGTGAGTCGCTGTGATTGCTTTGATTTCGTTTGTTGTTGATTCTCAACGATTCATTTTTGCTCACGCAAATAAAATTGCCGTTACTATCGAGGTGAATAAAGTGATGAAACATCATTATTACTGTGTCATGCGCAATGAATATACACTTGATGAGCACTATTACTTATAAGGTGATAATTACTATTGGTGTGATCATTAGAACACACAAAGAACATTTAAAGTGTAGGCGATCTCAGTGATAATTTGACGAGGAGTAGGATGTAGTAAACAACTGAAATATTCCATTCAGCTCGGTCTTGATAAGATCTGATCATGAATCGTGC